TTGTCAGCACTGTCGCTTTTAGCATGTAGAGGTGAATAAGGTTTTGAAGATCATCAGCGAGAGTGACCTTGACCTTGGAGACATCTGTGCATATCTTGTTTGGAGCCAGATTTCGTGTCTTTTGTACACTTTTTCCTAAGAAAAATGGCTCCAGAATTAAATTATTTATTTCTTCCTAATTGGCCTTAATCCTAGAATACTAATCATGGGTATATAGTACCCAGCGCAAATTTTCCCATTTTTAATTACAATTTTCAATATCTGATTTTCTTACGTAAATAATATGTTTTTCAGTTCCTATTAATGTTAACTCAAAGTACAAAGTTTGAAGTGCCTGCATGTAAAATATTTCAAATAAAGATTTACATTTAATATTTTGTTTTGATATTTTCAAAATCGAGTAAGATATACACATGGTTAGTAGTGGTGTAACTTTAATTGGTGGTTAGTGTTCTAGGGTTTAAAAAAAAACACGTGCTATTTCTTCTACTACGTCCGCATGATATTTTGGCGGTATCTATCTTAATCTTGATGACTAATAAAACAACCTCTCTGATTTGTATTCTATGGCTTTATTGGTGTGTTTTAAGATGAAAGCACTTTATTGAGTGTGATTGGTTTATAAATATTTGATTTGATATTTTAGTGGACACAACAATCTAACCTCTAACAGGACAATGAATACTGCATAATTTCCCCAAAGATGAAGAAGATTTATTGAAATATCAAAGATGTAGTTCTGTCGATTAATATTAAGCATACCATACACCAAGCATATCAGCAAGTTTTAAGGAAAATATAAACTTCAAAGAGGCCAATACGGAAAATCAAAAAGAAACTTTTGAAATATATGGGACATTATAATGAGGAAAGAAGGCCTAAAGAATTTAACGCACACAGAGCATATTGAAGGTGAGTGAAAAAAAAAAGCGAAACACCGAGTAACCTTTTTTAAAAAAAATCGATTCACCCCAAGCAAGGCGATAATGCCCTTAAGACGAAAGGGAATTACTAGGAGTGATAGAGGATCAAAAACTGTTGAAAGAACAGGAAACACAATACAAGGGATAAACCTCTGCTCCTGTTTAAAGAAAACACGGTGAGGACTACTTCAATTTGTCATTTTAATAAAAGTAGATACATTCTCCTATCGTCCAGTTCACACACCTTCTCCATCTTTTGAACAGGAATAGAGGTTTATCTCTTGTTTCCTGTTTAAGGCTGGGTTTCCGGTTCCTTCTCAGGACTACTTCAACTTTATACGTCTGACGTCTCAGCCTGAACTCTGAAATGTTATTCATTAATTATTTTTTCCTCTCAAAATAGGAATAGACAAGTTCACCTATCGTCAGGTCCACACACTTTCCCGGTTTTTTGAAAAGAAGTAGAAGTTTATCTCTTGTTTTCTCTTCCATCTAAATTTTTTATTCCACATTATACTTCTAACAACTGCGACTGAACTCTGAAATGTTATTCATAGCCCCAAGAATATTACTTCTTGACATATCTTACTCTACACTGTTACCCTCTACGTGGAGTGGCTTTCGGGCCTTGTATTAGGTGAATTTTAGTAAAAAACTTAATGAATTTTGAATGAAAAAACTGGAAAAAAATTGGTATAATAAAGGGTAGAAAATTAGTTAGAGCCAGAAATCATAGGAAGTTGTGGAGAGCCATGATAGTCCACGTCCTGAAGAGACTTAGCACATAAAAGAAGAATTATTATAATTTCTTTTCAGAACGACAATACAGAAACTATCAGAAAATTCAAGGGAAATAACTCGATTTATAAATAAAGAGTTCTTTCCCTTAGTATATCTTCGTAATATGGGCAGATTGGTGATTGTCCTAATAATGCCCTTTAAGTTTTAACTTTCTTTAGAAAATCAACACTGCACAAGATATGAAAGCTGCAGTTTGATATGTTAAGTACTGACACCAAAAATAAGATGCATAACTTTTACCAGTTTTGAGCATTTAGTTTTAAAGTTCATTTGTGAAAGAGCTATTTTCCGCAGGTTTTTGCCTATATACTACTTACACAATTTACTATTTCATGAATAAATGCCAATAAGTTGATATTTTTTTATATTATTTACATAGAATGTGAAATATATTCACACCAGAATTCAGATTATGAATCACCACAAGAAAAATATTCGGTATATTTACTGTATTTATTAAGTGTGTAAAAATTGTAAAAGATTATTGTTATGTTGGTGTGAGTTCGTTTCAAACATCCTCATCGCCACTGTTATGTTACGACAATCCTGGTCGGAACTGTTATATTCCGTGCTAAGGGAATAAATAAGTAACACCAAGTGGATACTTGAAGAAAGTTTTATTGTACACAACAAGTACAATATGAAATACAGTACAGTTATACACACAGGTGAATCTACTAGTGAGTACCACTAATTGGAAGGGCGGACCCGCTTGCATCTTCTCACTCTCACTCTCTCGTCTTCCAGCCTCTCTTTAGAGGTACTTATTACCTATAGTGTAATCATTCATGGGGGTGTCGGGTTATTCCATTACATCAATTACAAAAATGGCAACTCAATACATAATATCTTACATTATAGAGGACCTGGGGGTGTAGATGTAACGAAAACATGTGTGTTTATATTTCCTCCTAAATGAAGGTCCAGCGACAATAGAATGTTGAGCTTGGATTAAGTCTAACTGAAAATAAGGAAGACAAACAAACAAGACCGATATATATATATATATATATATATATATATATATATATATATATATATATATATATATATAAAGACATTTTATGTTTAACGTTCTTTTTTATAGATACAAGTATTTAAGTAAATGCTCTGTTTATAATAAACAGTATTAAATAACATTTATTTTATAATAAACAGTATTAAATAACATGTTACATTTTTCGATGAAAATTTTTCGGACATTCAGGCCGGTAAATGTTATTTAATACTGTTTATTATAAACAGAGCATTTACTTAAATACTTGTATCTATAAAAAAGAACGTTAAATATAAAAAATGTCTTTAATAAATAAATTGTCGGACTTTGTTCATTTCTTAATATATATATATATATATATATATATATATATATATATATATATATAATATAAAATATATATATTAAACAAAACATTTACAAAGCACATACAAAATTAACATTGTGGTTGTGTAAGCATATATACGTGTGTTTGTGTGTGTGTGAGAGAACGTTCGTAAGAGTTCGTACTTACGTGAATGCTTATATGTTGGTTTGGAATGTTTTTTAACGTCTGACCGCAAGGTCAAGACGAGAGTTCTTGAAGATCACCTCTTGGCTGAGTTAGAAGAGACCTGAAAACGAGAAAGAAAGGCAAACTCGTGTTTGTTTTTATAGATAGTAGTCACGTGACAGAATCACAGCGCTTTTTGGCGGGAAACTTGATTTAGTCACGCGTTGGAAATATATTGTGCGTGGGTGGATTGCGACGCCCACTTGTGTGCTTATACAATGAATGATTGTTATTGAAGATTTGAATTTGTAACGGTGTATGTGTGATGATGATGATTATGATGATCACTACAGTATGACATGTTATGCCATAATTGATAAAAACAAAAAAATACATTACTCTATATAACACTACTACTGCTGAGCACAGATTATAAAAAAAATATTTAAAATTTGCAATGTTTATTGAAAATCACAATACAATTACTTTACGGTATAATATATTACATCATAATATAGCTAAATTGTTCAGTATAATACCCTTTTGAAGTAAATGAGTGTCTTAATTTGATGGCACAGTTATTTAGTAATAATGTGCTGATGGCATGCATCTTGTCCATAGACAATTTGTAAAGCTTCGGAAAATTATAAATTTGATAAGGCTGTGGTAATAAGGCCTTCACTGATCACTGGAATTAAATTCCAACACGACGATTTTGATCCAAAGCTTAATATTTAAACCATTTCCCGCAACCAAAAAAACAAACAAAAAAAAAACGGTATTACTTTGGAAGGAAATATTTTGTCACATTATTAACCATGTCAAATCCAATTCTGGGGAATACTACGGTTCCAAAATCGACCTGCGTTATTGTCCCAGCTTTTGCTTAGTTTGCCTGAAGACCACAGGTTTATGGCACCCAGTGAAAATTGAACACAGTACTCAAGAAATAAAAGAAACAACAAAAGATAACAACAAAAACAACAATAAAACCAAATGCATTTTCTTTTTTCAAAAAAATGCTGATATAATTCCATGTTTTGGCAAAGTTCAGTCTGACATCTTTTTGCGAATTGTCTGTGAGCTTCGTATGACTCCAAATATACAGGAAGCGTGATTAGTGATATCTAATTGGATAACGCCCTAAATTAACTGACCTTTTGTCATACTTGCTATCGTTCAAAAGCAGAAGCATACATTTTCTTAATGATTCCAGCGATCATTCTCCTTGACGAAATCAAACCTTGGAATTCCACATGATATTTTCAAAGAAATCCCGTATACTTTACCTGGATGTTTGGCGCAACACAATCTTACAGCTACAATTCTTTTCATTTTTGAAGACTAATCTCATCTGCTCTTACATTTTCAAAGCAATTTTTCTAGTTATATGATATCATGCCGAAATAGATTTTGCACTGAAATTCCTCACCAGACTCATAAGAAGCTAGTTCGAACTAAGGATACACCCGTCCACTGAATGCCGAATTGCGTATCTCCATACTTGCATGCGGCGTTGTGAGAACGAGCATGTTGGACAGATCGAATTGGAAACAACCACCCGTAGATGATTGAGGCCGTCTCTTACATATCACAGCCGGATAATGTAAGGTCTACGTGTCGGATCTGGGGCGATGAAGCTTGCACAACTGACTAGCCGTGAGTAACTGATTGAAAGGAATTAAATATGAAGTAATGCAGATCCAACTCTCGTTTAATGATTTAATCGGTACTACTTCAACTTCATTGTCTTGATTATGCTTATAAGACCTATTAATAAGCGGCTTTCGGTCATATCACGTTGAAACAACGGTTCCCGTAGGATCTACGAAGTTAAGCAATGTCGGGTCTATTCGGTATTTAGATTGGTAACCGGTTGGACATACCAGGTGTTGTAAGCTTCAATATGTGCGTGGTGTGTGGATAACTGCTCGGAGTTGGAAATTGGAGAGTCAAATTCTAATTCCAGTCGTGTTCGTTATATTTATTTACGTGCAAATATCGTTGTGAAAGGCGTGAATCCAATTCTCCCTCCAGCTATGAGTTAACAGAACTTGTATGAGTAAAAATCATTATCGTCACAGAATTCTTACAATCTAAATATTTTCTGACTTTAAATAACCGAGAAAAGGTTGATAAACCGTAAAAAAAATCAATTTTTTATAAAGTCAGTTTTCAAAATAAAATTGATATAAATAAATTGATAGTCGGAGGATTTTCAGAATTCATTTTTATTTATATCCAGGAGAGTGAATTAATTTACCTCGGGCTAACATTTTCCACTGACATGAAGTGGAAAGATGATATTTAATCAATTTCTAGGACTACTGATAAGAAAGTTGGTTCACTGTGTCTGCCATTCGTCCATGCTTTGAATATTTCTATCACAGTTGGTCTGGTGCTTCTGCAATGTATTTAGAAATTCTTGACAATATCAAAAGAAGAATCTGCAATCTGACCTGGTATCTCAGCGTTAGTCATTTTGCTACCAATGTAACCTAGCTACCCTGTCTGTGAATTTAAGCACATTACTAGTTTGACGACGACGTCTCATCGTTTTACAGTTGAAAAGGCTAGATGCAACCGTAACTTCTATGCTAAGAGATTCTTTTCTCGTATTACCCGTTGTTGATTGATTGGTTTGTTTAACGCCATTTATATTATTCGAACTACTGTCCTCACCTTTGTCGCCATATTTATTACAACGTTTCGGCCGTTGTACGCTCAGGCCTTCTTCAGGTGATTGGAATGTCGAACAGAACCGTTTATTATCTAAATCAGCTATTCACAATTCGCCTCCTGTAATTTTTTCATTTTTATACAGGTTATAAAGAGAAAATTACCGTGTTGATACATATTCTTTCATTCTTAGTACTTTCGACATTAACACAATGTCATCATCAGATTGCGGTAATTTTCTCTCTTCCTTTAATAAGGATACGAAGAAACTTGTTCGTGAATATGAGAGGATCCTATTGAAAATAAGTAGACAAAACTTGTCTAAATTATTCAAAGAGACATGTCTTTATATATAATATATAATATATATTAGAAATCCCGGTTCGAAAGAAAAACCAAAAAAAAAAAGAAGGGAAATTGAATGTCTTTGGCTAGATGCGAAAGTGTCTCGTCAGTATTTTCATGATCTAGTTGCCCGAATTTTCTTGCTAGATAAAATGTCCGAACATGGAATTGTTTTCGCCGTTTCTTTCTCCTGTTGTTCTTAATTTTATTGAAAGCATGTCTCCCAAGCCCACTGTTGGTAGGGGCGGAGGATTGGCCGTTGATCCCCCCCGCCAACCACTAGCTATGAGTTTCGTTGAAACCCTATGCTTGGACTTAAGGTAAGCCGTACATTCACTGGTTATCATGAGAAAGAAAGCAGACAAACACTCGCTGCTAGGTATGTTGTGGCATTTAGTATGACATATCAACAAAGCCGGATGACCTTATTTTCTTCAATTTCTTTTTTTAAGAATAGGACAATGGGACTTTTACTAAGTTAAAACTTAGTGTTGTGAAAGCGTAAAATCCAAGTGTCAGTCTGGACACTTTGACAACTACTTCCCCCTCTTATTCTTCCCATTGTTTTTGTCGTTCTTGTATGTGTTATATGTAATAGGAGTAGGTAGGCTTTCCTACCGCCTGGTCAACACTCCTCGCTCTTCTCTTGGATATGAGTAGAGGCTCACGCCTTGTTTCTTGTTTAGGAAGGGGTTCCCGGTACTCTCTCTCTGGCCTCTGTATTAGTGCAGCTCCGTTTCTCCCGTGATGTGTGCAGTGTGTGGCATTACCTCTTTATTCTGAGGGTACACAGTTGACAGTTCTCTGGTTGCTGTTTCCGACTGGTAGTTAGGAGCCTTAACTCATACGTAGCATCTTGAGCTGCCGCTCTGATCAACAGTTTATAATACCGGGGTGATTGTAGTACCATGTCGCGCACGGAAAGGTGTCCCTGCAGTCACCTCCGGTGGGCAACCTTGAGGCCACATTATGATGCAGGCTGTGCCAACTCCTCTCTGCCCACGTCGCGGTCGATAACTGTCTGCTTCTTTTACTTCGGGCCTTCTCATCTTCCGACCATAATTCCACATGATGACTTACAAAGACCGAAAAAGTAATCCTAAACACGCCCCTCAAAAATCACCTAAACCCCTCAAAATTTCGTTCTCCAACATCCGTGGCATTAGAACAAACTTCTGCAGTATGGAATCTTTCCTCACTGCAAACTGCCCGGATATACTAGCTCTCTGTGAGACCAACCTTGTCTCGTCTATCCCCTCCTCTGATCTCTCGATCCCAGGCTACCTTCCTCTCCTCAGAAAAGACTCTCTAACCCACATGCACGGCATTGGTGTCTACGTCAAGGACCATCTCCCTCTGGCCAGAGAGTTGTCTCTCAAATCGCCAGACCAGTCGTACATTTGTCTCCGTCTATCTCTCCTCAACGCGGTAAGCTATCTCTTCTTCCTTTACCGCTCTCCATCCTCTCAAGACTGTGGGATACTCGATAGCATTTCGGACAGCATAGACAAGGCTCTCTCACGCCACCCATATTTGTGTTTGGCGACTTTAACGCCCATCATACCAAGTGGCTTAAGAATGCTACTACTGACCACGCAGGCATTCAAACAATTAATTTTTCAGTTTCTCAATCCCTCACGCAGATAGTTAACTTCCCCACTCGTTTTGCCTTCAACTGGGAAGGTAAGGCCTCTCTTCTCGATCTGTGTTTTACCTCCATCCCCGAGTCTTGTACTGCCACGCAACTCTGCCATCTTGGTAACTTAGATCATGCTGTAGTATCTGTTAACATCTCCTTCAACTCCACCCCTCGGCAAAGAATTTCCTACTACTAGAACTTCGTTCTACTGTCAACGAGCTGACTGGGACTCGTTCCGTGATTTCCTCCGCGATATCCCCAGGGATATTTTCTTTACGCTCCCCGTCCAAGAATGTGATTCTGAGGTCTCATCCTGGGTTAAAGCTGGAATCGACGCTTTCATCCCCTCAAGGAAATATAGGGTCAAGTCGCGCTCCTCCCCTTGGTTCTCCGCTGCTTGCTCAGCCGCCATTGCCCATAGGAACCATTTCTTTCACCTATTTCGTATCGACATGTCGGACTGCAATAGACGTCTCTTTGCCTCTGCCCGTAAAGCGTGTAAGCGTGTCCTCAACGATGCTAAGTCACTATTTGCGACTCGAATGAAGGAACGTATTGCATCTCGCAAATTTGGCTCCAAAGATTCTTGGCGTCTCTGCAAGAGCGTATTGAACAATTGCAAACCCTCTATACCTCCTTTGTTCAACCAGTTCGAAGTCCTGACCTCCTCTGCCGACAAGGCTGAATGCTTTACTCGGAAATTTTCATTCAACTCAACGCTCGATTCATCCGGTGTACCCATACCCGACTTCCCTCTTAGAACTGAGGCCCTATTGAGTGGGTTACACATAACACCGTCTTTCGTATTGGGCATTATCTCCAATTTAGACCCCAACAAGGCTAGTGTTACGGGTCGATTATATAACCTAATACAATCATTCCTATCAAACCGTGAATTGAATGTCGTTCTCAACGGATTCTCCTCCAGTTCCTATCCAACGAACGCAGGTGTCCCTCAAGGCTCCATCCTAGGCCCCACTCTATTCCTTATCTACATAAATGACCTTCCTGACGCCATAACTTCCCAAGTTGGCATCTACGCGGATGACACCACAATTTATTCCTGCCTCAAAAACAAATCTAGTCTCGCTGACAAAACTCACCTGGCCGTGCGTCTCGAAAAGGACCCCCAATCGATTGTGAACTGGGGCATGAATTGGCTGGTCAACTTCAACGCTTCTAAGACAAAACTGCTCTCTATTAATCACCACAGAGATCCTTCCCTTCTCTCCATTAGAATGTCTGACGCTCAACTTCTCGAGAGCAACTCTCTGCGGTTACTCGGTCACACGTTGACTGCTGACCTGAGATGGAACAAATACATTGAGTCAATTGCTTCGTCCACCGCAAGGAAAGTTGGCTCTCTGTGTCGCACCAGGAAAATTTTTTCTCCCCGGAATCGATCCTTCAGATCTACAAATCAACAATTCGCCATTGCATGGAGTATTGATGCCATATATGGCATGGAGCCTCTTTTGTTTGCCTCGGTGTTCTTGATAGCTCCAGAGGCGGATATGCAATATAATTGGCCATAATCTGGCATCTCGTCTACAGTCACTCTCTCACAGACGCGCTGTCGCCTCTCTCTGCCTTTTTTACAAATACTTTCATGGTAATTGCTCCGAGGAGCTGTATTCGGTGGTTCCCAGATTTCATGAATTCAAGCGCCCTACGAGGCTGGCATCCCGCTCTCACCCTTTCACTGTAGAAACTCCTAAATATAGCCGTCTCTTCTACTCCAATAGATTCATACCTCGCAGCTCTCGCCTGTGGAACTCCCTTCCCTATTCCAGTTCCCCTGAGAGCTATAATCTCCAACTATTCAAATGTAATGTCAATCGACATCTCCAGTTGCCTTGATCTATCCACTATCCTTCTCCTCATCCTTTCCGCTATCACTCATATCTGATCTTGCTCCAAATCTTCTGTAACCCCTTGCGTCCTAGTGGCTTCCCGCCTTGCTTGCGGTGATAAGCTTATATATATATATATTGCATAACGGATAAATACAAAATTACCTCATGGATATAGTTTGAAATAGATTATACCAATGAAGTAATTTTGGATTTCTCTGTTGTGTCATTTATATGCATGCCCTGTTATAATAAATGCATTGATCACTTTTTGTGGATCACTTTTAATATTTTATATTATTAGGATCCACTTGGATTATATACAAACGGATTTATTATCTGTAATATATATATATATATATATATATATATATATATATATA